GTTCGACAGATGAGGCTGCCGCACCCATACGACCTCTCCTATCTGTGGCTTCCACTCCCGTCTCCTCAGGTTGTAGTGCCTTGCCTGATCTTGGGCCGCCCTCTCCAGATTGCGTCGCACCAACTGGAAAATTTCCCTCAATTTCGATGCATTTTCCTCGGGCGTTCTCGGCCCCTGTCCTGTTCCTAGGGCTCCCTCGTCGTACAGCGCGTTTGGCAGTCGGGGCTCTCTTCCTTGTACGATGTACGCTGGAGAATAGCCCGTTGACTCTGCCACGCCTGTATTCACAGCTAGCATCAGCTCTGGCCATTACTCGTCCCTGCACCGCTGATCTCCCTCCGTGAACTGTGCGATCATCGTTTTCTCTGTACGGTTTGTACGTTCCGTCGGGTTCTCTTGGGGTGTGTATGGCGCGGTGAATTGCTGTCTGACCCCCATTTCCCCCAAGAACTTCTTGAACACGCGGCTTGTAAATTGGACTCCGTTATCGGTGATCATCACCTTTGGCACTCCAAATCGAGCCAAGATTCTTTCGCGGACTGCCTTCACCAGCGCTTCCGCAGTGGCTTTCCTCAACGGTACCAATTCGGTCCATTTGGAGAAACGATCCACTAACACCAACAGCATTGCGTTCCCATGCTTCGATCTCGGCAGCGGTCCCACGAAGTCCGCACACACTGTTGCCCATGGCTCTTCTGGGACCTGGGTCAACATTTTCCCAGCTGCCCGTACCTGGCATGGTTTGAAACGCAGGCAGNTCGATCCGCTGAGTGTTGGTGCTAACGGTGCCGGCTCGGTGTTTGTCGTCTCGCGTACATTGATTCGCTGAGCGTTGGTGCCGACGGTGCCGGCTCGGTGTTTTGTCGCCTCGCGTACATTGATCCGCTGAGCGTTGGTGCTAACGGTGCCGGCTCGGTGTTTTTCGCCTCGCATACATTGATCCGCTGAGCGTTGGTGCCAACAGTGTCGGCTCGGTGTTTTGTCGCCTCGCGTACATCGATCCGCTGAGCGTTGGTGCTAACGGTGCCGGCTCGGTGTTTTGTCGCCTCGCGTACATTGATCCGCTGAGCGTTGGTGCTAACGGTGCCGGCTCGGTGTTTGTCGCCTCGCATACATTGATCCGCTGAGCGTTGGTGCCAACAGTGCCGGCTCGGTGTTTGTCGCCTCGCGTACATCGATTAGCTGAGCGTTGGTGCCGATGGTGCCGGCTCGGTGTTTTGTCGCCTCGCTTCGTTTATTTGTTCGTGCGTGCGCCCGCTGGCCTTCATGGACTGGTGAGTGTGTCCTGCGCGGCACCCCTCCTTTACTTTTATAAGTATTTTAAGGTCAGCTTCATCCTGCGTGATGGCCTTTCCCTTCATCCCTACTTCGGCTGGGGCTTCAGGTCTGCCAGGTGGGCCGTCCGAACATGCCCATCACTATCTCTCTTCATCTGGCAGATCACTGGCGACTTAAAGTCGACCACCCGGTACGGCCCGGCATACCTCGGCGCCAACTTGACCGCGAATCCCTCCGCTGCGTTCGACAGATGGTGCTGCCGCACCCATAAGACCTCTCCTATCTGTGGCTTCCACTCCCGTCTCCTCAGGTTGTAGTGCCTTGCCTGATCTTGGGCCGCCCTCTCCAGATTGCGTCGCACCAACTGGAAAATTTCCCTCAATTTCGATGCATTTTCCTCGGGCGTTCTCGGCCCCTGTCCTGTTCCTAGGGCTCCCTCGTCGTACAGCGCGTTTGGCAGTCGGAGCTCTCTTCCTTGTACGATGTACGCTGGAGAATAGCCCGTTGACTCTGCCACGCCTGTATTCACAGCTAGCATCAGCTCTGGCCATTTCTCATCCCAGCACCGCTGATCACCCTCCGTGAACTGTGCGATCATCGTTTTCACCGTACGGTTTGTACGTTCCGTCGGGTTCTCTTGGGGTGTGTATGGCGCGGTGAATTGCTGTCTGACCCCCATTTCCCCCAAGAACTTTTTGAACACGCGGCTTGTAAATTGGACTCCGTTATCGGTGATCATCACCTTTGGCACTCCAAATCGAGCCAAGATTCTTTCGCGGACTGCCTTCACCAGCGCTTCCGCAGTGGCTTTCCTCAACGGTACCAATAGCCAGGTAAACCTCTTTGCTAGGTGATTGTGGTTGTCGTAACGCAAGGGTACGAAGCTAGAGCCGTGCGGTCCCACGAAGTCCGCACACACTGTTGCCCATGGCTCTTCTGGGACCTGGGTCAACATTTTCCCAGCTGCCCGTACCTGGCATGGTTTGAAACGCAGGCAGGTTTCGCACCTTCTCACGTATGCCCTCAAGTCCCGGTACATCCCTGGCCAATAATACCTTTCGGCAATTCGTGCCATGGTCTTCCGACCGCCTGCATGCCCAGCCCCTGGGGAGTCATGATTCTCCCTGAGAACCTGTTCCCGTAGGTTCGTGGGGACACACAGCTTCCACGCCGCCACCTCCTCGTCTCCGGCGCGGTGGGGAATGTTTCTGTAGATTCCACCACCCTCCTCTACATAATCTGGGAATTTTGCCGGTTCCTCCTTCATCCTCTCCTTCACTTTTCGGATCCATCGGCACCCTTCGCCGATAAGGCCGAGGGGAAGTGACGGAAGAAGTAGGAGATAGGCATCCGTAGCGAGCCGGTGCCCGACGGATCTGTCACGTAGGCGGTGTTGTAACTCGACGGGGAAGGCCATGCAGTGGAGCTTCAGCATGACGACATCGAGATCCCGGGTAGAGGCGACTCTTCCCGTTGGGCTCTCGATGCTATTCAGCCACTTCAACGCCAGGTGATCCGTGATCACTTTGAAGCGATACCCTTCCAGATATGGCTTGAGCTTCCTAACGGCCCAGACGATGGCGAGACATTCCTAAACATAAATCCCTACACTAAATATTGGTGGCGCGTCCGCCTACTCCCGCCTTTCAACTTAACTTAATGGGAGGGAATTAATTGGGTTACAGAAAATAAATGTAAATAATGAAATAAATATAAATACAAATACTACATTTAAATGTTTACATTAATATGGGTGATAAATATATGTGGGACAGTTAATAAATTAAATATTAACTATTAATATCTGTAGGTGTTAATGTCTTCAGGTGGCGTATTTAATTTAATTTAATTTATTTATTGTTGTTGGCGGCGCGGTTGAGGCGGGCTCGCACCCGGGCTGGGGCGTGACCAATATTCCGCGGGCCGGGGAATGGGAATTTGGCCCATATACGGGAGGCCGGCCGGTTCAATTAATCCTTTTCGTTTGGATGCAAAAAAAAATAAGTCCTCTGATTGTCCAGCCGGTCCGTTTGGTTTTTCCCGATTCGTTTCCGATTTTTTTTCTGTCTTTCCACGGTTCCACGGTCACACACAAAAAAAACGCTCTGACACTGCCGATGTATATTTTCCCACTACCTGCCTTGTCAGCCTAGCTGCCCTATGCAGGCCCATCGCTGCAGCTGATCCCATCTCTTCTATTGCCATGGCATGGCATTCTTGAGGGTGTGGGTGAGCTGGCTCGTGGATCCCGCAATATTCACCTCTCTTAAATTCTCCCCTCTCGCTCTCTCACCGGCACCGTTGATCGCCTTGCCCTTTCGCCTATCAACCTGCCAACCTCCAAAAAAAATACTAACAAATCCAGTATTTTGCCTATCGCTCTCCTTCGAATGCAACAAATGAATGCAAAATGGATACATGCAGGAGATTTAGTGTGCTTTTAGTGTGATTGGCGGCATGATCGGAGGAGGAGGACAATCAGCGAAATAAGCGCCGACAACTTTGATTAAACCCATATCTGCAGGAAAAAAACCAGAACGGTCGTTTGTCTATACATTCGAGTATTATAACTCATATAAATATGTATACATATTGCATACATATTTGCATATTCCGAAGTTTGAAAATAGGACAGAGAATTTGCATATGGCTGGGAATAACATCTGCAGACTTCTTAAAAAAAAATTGATAGTTTTGAGTCCAAATCGCCGCCTTCGCCCCTTGTCACGACCCTGTGGAGCAGTACTTGGTCCCAAAAGGAAAACAACTTAAAACATTTTGTTAACAGCCCAGCCGGGTCTGTGTCTTGGCAACATGAAGATACTGGCGTTCAAATAAGTTTAAAAAATTATAAATGCAAATAAATTCAATATAATTTCATTAATCTATATAATAATTGTTTCCTTTTTTGCCGTTGGATGGCCTGAACCTCGTTTAGAAGCACGGTGGTCATTTATCTTTCAACATCCATTGTTGCCTCCATTTGATTGAGACTATACTCTCTGTTTGCTAGGTACCCTCTCGGAAATTAAAAAAGATCTTTATGTTTCGAGCTGCTAGCAACATACCAACGAATACCACACAAATACTATCGATACCACAAAGTACTATCGTCTGAATTTCTAGATTATTTCGGCCTGTTTTTTTCAACTGTCGTTTGATAAAAAACAAAATAGGTATAATTTAAAAAACAAGTTATATATAACAATAAAAACATTTCTCTGTGGTACACTTCCTTTCCTACTTGAAGTCTACTTGAAATTCTTGACGGCTACTCGATCCCGAGACAGCACCTTAGGCAAATAAATATTTTCTAGCCATAATTGCCGGATTTCTTCGTTGCGATGAGTCCGTGTCCTCTATTGTTGTGCTCAAATTTTGGGTTCTGCTTAAACATTTATTTAAACAAACAATTTTATTAAAATATAAATGTAATTTAAATAAAAAGCCGTAAGACAATTCGTCCGAATTTTGGGTCTTTATTTTTCTGTCGATCTTCACCTTCAGAAAAGAAAAGAGTGCAGGCTGATGTAGGGAAGTCTTTCGAGTCTGTAATATTTTGCAGTGTCCAAGAATTTAATTTTGAAGCCGCTACTTTACGTTACATTATGATTAATTGTGGTCGCAGAAAAATATCGACTGCCAAAACCAGAATCGATGTTTACACGAAAACCTAAGAATCGACTATACCGATGTTTGAATCGATTTTTTCCCAGCTCTAATTTGCGTGTGAATTTTGTTTTCATTTGTTTATTTAAATAAACACTTAAATCATGGATATTACACAAGTTTGCCGGATTTGCGCAAATAAAATAAAGGACAAGAAGCGCGAGAGACATGTGTTCAAATACATGCGTGGAAAGCTGTTGTGCCAACTCAAAATGATAACTGGAGTCGAGGTAGGTAACCTCCATGAGAATTGTTTATAAAGCGAGCGGAATTTACAGATAAAGTTACCCTTTGTTCCTTTCCAGCTGTCTACAGATGAAGGCTTGCCGCAGTTTGTCTGCGAGCGGTGCTTCTCCGAACTGGATCTGGCTGTGAAGTTTCGCGAGCGTTGCATCTTCTCACAAAAGTACTTGCTGGAGATGGTCAAGAAGACCACTGAGGAGGAGCGCAAGAAGTACGTGCCAACGGAGCTGCATGAACAATTGATTGACGCGGACCAACTGGAGCCACCCATTGAGGATGATGAAGTTTGCATGGGCTTTGTCAGAGAAGATGACGACGAGTTCACTTCCGAAGAGGACCCCCAGGCGGCGATGCTTGTCGCAGCGGAAGAGGCGCACAAGGCTGCGATAAAGGAAGAGCAGATGAATCGCGCAGCGAAGCGATGCCGTAACTTCTTTATATGTGAGCAATGCGGACAGTTCTACGATGACGAATACTCGTACAACGAGCACTTGGATGCGCACCAGGAACGCACGGAAATGAAAATGTTCTTTCCATGCACCGAATGCCCCGAAACCTTTACCAAGAAGACTGATTTGAAGCAGCATCGCACGCAGTCCCATAATGGCCAGCGCCAATTTAAGTGCGCAACTTGTGGCGAAGTCTTCGTTTCAATGGGCGCCAAGCTACGCCATGAAAAGTGAGAAAGAAGTTTGTAATTCGACCAATTTCGGATATTTAATTAATCTTTAAATCCTCCCACAGAGCCCATGAGAATGAACGCCCTTATCCCTGTCTGCAGTGCGGAAAGATATTCACCAGTGTATCGGAACTAAGTGATCATCATGCCATGCACACGGCCACCAAGATGAAATTCAAGTGTGAGCCTTGCCGCAAGGATTTCATGACCAAACCGCTCCTGGTGGCACACACCAAAACGAAGAGCCACAAGCGCACTCTGAAACAAATTGAGGATGAAATTGATTTTATAAGTGACTTTGACAGTGACTAATCTACAATTTATTTAATTATGGACTTACAAGAGCTGAATAATTATAGTTTATAGCTCTACTTAAAATTAACAAAACATTGAATTTTCCTGAAAAGTATTGTTTCTTGTATATTGTCATTTGAATTGTTTTCCCCTCTAAGAATCTCTTTAAGAGTCGAGGTGTGTAATTTCTTGAATTCTAAGTGGAATTAAATTTAGTTGCCACATACATACTTATGTATGTATATTAATTATTAATTACTTAAAATATTGTTAAACCAATTCTCTAAAGCATATCAACAAATGGCTTAATGGGACTAGGACTAGACTAAACCCGAAAGAGCTTTTATAGAACGCGCCTGCGCACTGTTTTTTCCACCTTATCAGCTTTGAATGATTTATAAAGAGCGCTGGCAATGCATATTCCGAGTATTCAACTGGTAGTCAACACATCGGCAACCTCGGATAGAACCAAACCAACCATATAACATTGTTATACATACAGATACCAGAGCCGAGTGTTTGTAGCAGCTGGCGACCGGAAAAATCAATAAACTTACCAAACTTCTACGTGGACAGTGTTAATTTCAGTGCAAATGCGCAATATGTTGTCCCGTTCGCAATGTGAGTTCTTTGAAAATAGTGAAAAATAAATAACTTCGGCATTGAACTGTTTTCAGGTCTCAAAATGCTGATTTACATGCTCCTTCTGGTGTCGGGGGGCTCGCAGGTACAGTCCTATGGCTCGAAGGATAACATTTTCGCTGACGTATTGCTGACGGATCTTCTCAATCGCATGGATAACGACATGCAGGTGGGCTACTACGACGTGGACAACGATGGCGACATGGCAGCCGTTGCGCCCAAGGACAATGTGGATCTCGTCTCTCGGTCCGAGTACTCCAGGCTGTGCGAAGGCGGCAGCGACTGTGTGCTGCAGTCGGCAGTCAACGCGAATCCCTCGCTGCGGGACCATGAGTTCCTGCAGCACAGCTCGCTGTGGGGTCACCAGTTCATCTCGGGCGGCATGGGCGAGGGCCCCAACCGCTTCAACAATATTGTAAAGAACGACGCTGGCTTGCCCGCCTACTGCAATCCACCCAATCCCTGCCCCGAGGGCTATGACGCGGACACCCAGGGAGGCAGCTGCCTCATGGACTTTGAGAACACCGCCATCTTCAGTCGCGAGTTCCAGGCTGCCCAGGACTGCACCTGCGACAACGAGCATATGTTCGACTGTTCGGAGCAGGACAGCGCCGATTCGGGCTCGGACAAGGGCGACCTCAACTCGGCCGTGGAGCAGTACATACTCCAGATGGGCCAGGAGAACAGCCTCAACAATGTCAACAGCTTGGTCAAGAAGGCAGGCTATCCGGCCATGCCCGACCCACGCATGGACGCTGTCATGAATCCATTCCTGCAGGGCGATCGTCTGCCCATAGCCGCCAAGAAGGGCAACATGCTCTTCCACTAAACAATTGCTTGACTAGTGTTGGGCGTTGGGTGTTGGGTCCTCACGTCAACTCATACATTTACGAAGCATACTTATAGCATTCGTTTTCGGTATTTGGGTGTCTACTATTATTGCAATTATTAGCCATCATAGTTGGTTATCAATGTTGTCCCGCTCAGTGGAGCTTCCAAGCAGAGTCTATACAAAGTTCTATACAGTTCCCTTGCCCCCCAATACTATGCCACCAAATAAACTTATTCATATTAAACGAGGGCTCAAAGCCAGAAACAACAAGTACGATCTATCTCGATTTATTCGCATTTATTTGTCGTATCAAATTTCATTATTATATTGGAATATACGAGTGTGTATTTCCCTCTTAATTGCTGCACTTCCGATTGAGCTCTGAGCGTTGAGTATTTTGTGTCAGCATGCACTGGTAGTGGGATTGCCACAGATTGACTTAAACATAACCTAACAAATGATATAGTATAGTACATAGTATGAATGTTTGTTGCCATTCTTGGGCCCACACATCGTCACTGGCAGTGTGATTAGCTAAGCATTATGTTCGTTGTGTCGACAAAGGCAATGTCACTCACTCTCACTCTCACTCTCTATCTTTATCTATATCTCCTCTCATGTCTCCTAATTACGAGTATGTACAACACAATAATGTTCTTGACTATAGCTCTAGATGTAGGTTTTATGTTTAGGTTTAGGTCTATATTCTAGGCAGTTTATGGAAAGAGGCGGAACAATTCGTTAACAAGATGTCTAGCTTACACATAAAAGTAGTTTACAAGCGCCCCGTGGTGTTGCCGCCGCTGGTGTTCTGGCCCCAGGACACCTGGGGATGCGGATGTGGGTTGCGAGTGGTCAGACGCAGCGAGTTGCCATCGCCGTCCTCATCGATGACATGCTCGTAGCCCTGATTGATGGTGCCCCCACCATTAGAGCCATAAATTTGCTATTCAATGGAAGATTATTATATTAGTTCCCAATTTATGGTAAGTATTATCAATGCTCACCTCTGGCGGTATTCCGTTCACATTGAACACATCCTTGATGCTAATGCCAGCATTTGACACCCGTCCACTTCGCTGATTGGGCACACCTCCATTATTGTTCACCTAGGAAGGGAATGTGCTCGTAAATGTTTTTAAATATCTCTCGCTTCGCTTCTTACCGGTGCTCCTGTGGTAATGCCGTACTCATTCTTCGCCCCCAGTGTCTGCATGGCCGACTTGCGTCTTTCGGCCATAACCGAATTCTTGCGCACCTCCAAGGCCCGAATGGTCTCGGCCCTCATGGTCAGGCGACGCGTGAGAATGGGCGTTGCGGGATTATTCTCTGCATCGGCAGTGAGCTTGAGGAATCGCTTTTTGAAGGCCACATCCAGGGTGCCAATTTGTCGACGCGGCTGCCGGGCCTTCTCCAGGTTCTGGATGGTCTTGCGACGGGCTATGCGATCGGGTCCCGAGCCAGAATCATTGTCATAGTCCCCATCGATGCCCTGCAAACGCTGCAGATTCTTGACAATCTCCACAGCATGCTGGAGGGAACGAACAAAGTGTGAGTGGAGATTCAGAGATGCGTGTGTGGTGTGTACCCACCTTGTCTATAAGCTGATCCTGTGTGAGATCCTCCGATTTCTTTTTGCAAAAGTTCAGTTCGGTGGAGGCCAATATGTGCGAGATGGTGCCAAAGCGATGGAACAACATGGCCGTAAACTGTATGACCAAAATGAGGGCAAAGAAGAACACAAAGACCAGGCCAATGGGCTCCAGCTGCAGATACTCCTTGGAGATGTGAACCTGTGAAAGCATTTCGGGCTGGTTAGTGGACTGCTCAGCAGATTACCATTTGGGTTAGTGACATTGAACAATTTGATTGGTAGATTCGAGTATTGGTTGCTTGAATGGCTGAACATAACACCAATTGTCCGGTGATTGTGGCATGTTGAGGTGTGATACCAAGTAGGAGTAGGAGGAGGTTATACGATTATGTAGGAACAATGAGACATGCAGCCATGACTCTGGGCACGTGTGGATATACCTTGTGTATATATAGTTGATATGGCTTTCAGTTTACCGTGTTTCCATTTTCTTTGGGATAAGGGAATAACTGTTAGCGACCATTTGCGATGTCAATGTGTGGGTTGGTTTTAACATGATGCACGAGTTTTTTAATTTGTTTCGTATGATTTCGTATGCCTGAACCATTAGGATGGGGTTCCAACAAGGGGAAAGTAACAAGAACAAGTAACAATAACATCATTAGCTGGTTGTTTGGGTTTGTGATAAACATAGAGAGTGAGACAGAGAGTTGAGTGTCGGGACAGGCGGGAAGTTAGACAGGTTGGAGACAGACCCTTTTGGCACACACGCAACCAAAACAGAGTGGTTCAGAGTGATGCAGTGGTTGGTTAGATAGAACATCGTACATATACGTAGGATAAAGTAGGATTTTATGTAAACCTCAGATGTCTCTTCGATATAGGTAATGTTCGTTTTAATGCCCAACGGCCAAACGATATGCAATTTATCCTTGTTCAGTTGCAACAAGAACACAATCAACACAAACAAGGCATTGGCCATGAAAAACGCAAACACCGACTTGTTCCGCAGCTCAATCAGATCGGAGGCAATGCGGGCCTTCGGATCATATCGTTCCAATTTTGGTAAGAGAAAACGAGAAGAACGAGAGTTTTTGTTAGTATGGCTTGCAATGGTTTCTTTACCTCCTGTGTGGACTCGTCGTAGGTGATGTTGGTGCGCACGCCGAAGGGCCACTTCACGTGAATGTTGTCCTTGTTCAGCTGCAGCAGGAACACGATCAGCACAAACAGTGCGTTGATCATGAAGAAGGCAAACACCGACGAGTCGCGCAGCTCTTTCAGATCTTTCGCTATGCGGGCCTACAATAATGTTATGCGATATTCGATTCGATTTGGTTGGGCCATCATTTCACAAAATACTCAAAGAGAAGTTCGACTGTTTCGGAGTACCGAAGAGACTCTTGTTCGTAACATACCTGCTCCACGGGATCATTGTCAATGGGATAGAGATACTGATCGATGAGATCTTTCCAGAACTGAATTTCGGTACTGGACAAAAAGTCCACTTCGCCCTTGCGCACATCGGGATCCTCGATCCAGTAGGGGTTCGTGAGGAAGTCGCGCTCCTGCTTGGGCTCTGCCGAAGTGTCCGAATCGGAGACGTCCGACTCGTCGCCCGATTTCTCCGCCACCGATGTGAGCAAATGGTGATCCTTGGAGCCGCTGGAAGTGGTCCTGCGTCTGTTGTGGCGCGAGGCATGGTGTCCGTGCGGATCGACGGCGCTCTCGATGGTGTCCATGCGCTGCTTGATCGTGTCCAGGGACTCGGCAATGGTAGTCAGCTGCTGCTTCTCGTCAGAGGTCTTGCCATGGGTGCAGAAGATGCAGCGGAAGAGTCCGGCGAGGGAGAACTCCACCGAGCCCTCCTCGTCGCCATTGTCGCCGATGCCGCTCTGCAGGAAGCTGAGCATGCTCTTCTGCTTGACCCGCTTCTTGGCCTCCTCGTTGGCCTTCTTCTCGGCCTCGAGCTCCTTCTTGGTCTTCTTGGCCACCACCTCGCGGGTGCCCCACGAGACGACATTCAGGTTGATGATCGAGTAGAGGATGAGCAGCAGGTACATGGACGGAATGGACAGCAGATAGATCAAGCCGCACGTTATGCACCAGAACTCCTGGGGATGCAAACATGCGGCTATGAAGAATGAGCCCACCATCGATATCAAGAAGATGGCCGAGGGAGAGCCTATCCCATCCTCGCCCAACTGCAGGGCCGTGCCCACGATCACAGCCATCATGATCAGCGCATAGGCGGTGGACAGCACCTGTGCCACGAACAGCTGAATGTTGGACTTGCAGGTGAAGCAGATGAACATGAAGGCCAGAATCGGAACGATGTTGTAGTGGAAGGAGGTCCAGTTGTCGATGCGGAAGGCCGCCACGAAGGCGCCCACCAACATGAGGAAGATCGTGCCGGGCCCCAGGATGGTGCCGCCCATCAACATCATCTGGTAGAAGATGTACAGCAGCGAGATGTTGTCGTTGATCTTGATCGTGCGCTTGGCGTCCGCCAGCAGGTCCATGATGTTGGCAATGGTCGAGGGCACCCAGCGACGTCGCTGGTTGTAGAACTCGTTAAAGCCTTCCGGGCAGTGGGTGTACGCATCGCTGGCAGCGGAGTACTCCACGCGATAGCCGCGCTGCAGGAGCAGCGTGCAGAGCCAACGATCCTCGCCCTGATCGTACTGCACATAGTGCCGGGCCTCGTCCGATCGCGTCGTGTACTTCTTCATCACGTTGTCGTCCATGAGGGCCTTGCCGCGGAAGAGGGAGAAGCAGCCGGGGGAGCAGAGCACACAGCCGATCATGTGCTCGGTGGCCTTCTGCAGCCAATGCCCGATGGCGTACTCGAAGAGCTGGTACCACACCATGGGCCCCGAGCCCACCGGATGGATGCGGCCACAGGCGGCGCCCAGGTTCTTGTTCTTCTTCATCAGATCCACCAGCAGCGTGACGGCGTTAGGCTTGAAGTCAATGTCTCCGTCCAGGGTCAGCAGGTAGGTGTTCTCCGCAATGGCATCCTTGCGATCCACCGATATGGGCAGCTCCATGAGCCGATGTCCCAGCAGGTAGTACATGTACATGACCTGGGACCAGCGCTTGCGATGGCGAATGCGGTCCTTGTCCTTCAGGTGGGTGATGAACTTGGTCTTGCCGGGCAGTGTCCACACCAGGCGACCGCCGTACGGTGTGGGATACTTCTTGGGCGGACGCAGCCGTATCGTGGTCTGATGTATGTCCGAGGCAGCCTCGTCCATGGTGGCAATCAGCAGCTTCACAAATCGATTGCATTGGATGTCATCGTCGCTGTGATCGGAGATCTCGAAGGCGTCGTCGAAGAAGATGTGGGCTGCAAGAAAAGTTAGAGATTCAACTCAATCGGAGACTCACTCAACCTCTTTGAACTCACTCTCAAACTCGTAGTAGTCGGGGTCGAGCACCCGCAAATACTTCTGGGCCACACGGCGCGCACACTGGTCCTCGTCCATGCGCATGATGCTCTTCAAGAACTCGATCATCTCGTCCCTGGTTTCGTGCCACATGGTGGCACACGAGTAGATGCGGGTTATGTTGTCCGAGGACTTGATCGAGGGCTTGTTCGGGGCGGAGGAGCGATCGGTGTGCACTGAAATGGTTTCGTAGTACTCGTCGCCCTTTTCCTTTTCAATCTCCGACAGATCCTCCGTTTTGACATCCGCCTGATCGTCGCGCCTGCGATTGAGGGCCATGGACTGGTCGATCAGCAGCGAGGAGTACATGGGCTTCACGAAGAGCTTCTCGGTGGTGGCCAGGCGCTCGCACTTGGGCGTCCAGATGTGCAGGGCTATCCAGGTCTGGCTGAGCAGCCACAGGATCCACGCCCAGGCCATTTGCTCCGTCACAAAGTTGTTGAAGCGGAAGTTCGAGGGACTCGTAAAGAACAGATAATCCGGTATGGTGTCGTGGAAGAAGCAAGGATCGTCGATGCGAATGCCACACACGGAAATCAGCAGGGAGACGGCCAGGGGCACGGTTAGGCTCACGGGGAAGGCGTAGCTGAAGCCCTGGATGAGAATTTTGCAGGCGAACTTGCCGAAGATGTAGCACAGGTAGGCGCCAAAGATCTGCAGGAGCAGGACATAGACCACCGTGTTGTAGGCGGCGTCCACCTCGACCGTGTCTATGTTGGCCGACTCCAGGGTGTCGGGCAGGACTCCGCCGAGACCCGCTGGCAGCTCGTAGACAATGATCTTGTGCGGACCGAAGGCGTCGCCGTACAGGGCAAAGAGATTGCCGGGCTCCTCGCCCTGGGCCCAGTAGATGAGCAGGGTGAGGCAGAAGAAGAGCAGGATCTTCCAGATGGACAGGAACATGTGACAGAAGTAGCGGGTGTAGCGCATCTCCTCCTTGATGCGTCCCAGGGCTCGCACCAGGCCCAGGGACGACTGCGGCGACACGTAGTTCTCCCACCAGCCGCACGAGATCATCACACAGGCCACCGGAATGACCCACAACTCGCGGCGGTTCTCCAGCAGGGGCCAGATGACGAGACCCGTCACCTGTGCCGCCACCGCCGCCAGATCGATGATGGCCTTAACGAAGCGCTTGCCCTCCTTGGAGGTGCGCGAGAGCAGCCCAAAGATGCCCGGGATGACGCACAGGCAGTTGGTGAGCATCGCTCCCTGGATGGCATCGATCTGGGGCAGCACCACGAACATCAGCAGCGCCGTGCCCATCGCATTGAAGCTCTCCATCAGCCAGACGAACAGAAAGTGCCCCGTCTTGGGCACCTTGAAAGTCTTGAAGAAACAGATGCGAGCGGAACGGATCAGAGCCCCAATCTCGGGCAGGGCATAGGCTATCATTAGAGCCCAGATCCAGGCCACACGCTCCTCCTCCGGCAGGCGCACCACAAAGCTTTTGTCGCGTCCCTAAGAATCGATCCCCCGAAAGGGTTACATTAATTGGGAATCCAAAGTGAAACTCAGGGGACGGTGGACATACCAAATCTTTGTTGCAGTACTCCATCTTCTTGTCCTTTCTCACTTGCGAGGTCATGAAGAGCATGGTGCCCTTGGCAATGACGCCGCCGCTTAAAACTATAATAAAAGTAATGATGTAGGCGAAGATCTTGAGGATCTTGATGGTTAGCTCCAGACACTCCTGGTTCGCCGTGGATCCTGTTTCAATTTTGATCGGTGGATCCCGGAAGACATCCCAACCCTTTGTCTCTTGTATCGTGCGTTGGCTGAAAGGGAGCAAATGATGGACAGATCATTATGGAGCACTCAACCATTCGGTGGCATGGAAAGCAAGCTCGATCTGCCACTCGTCTGATCTTCACTTCCGGCATTTCATTGCCTCGATTCGACTCGACTCGACCCCGCCCTGCTCGGAAAGTGACTGTGAAACAAGAGCTGGTGGGGCTAATTACAGTGAGACACTCAAGTTCCGGCTTTAGTTCCTAGCCAGCAATTTGCATAGAGTTTGTGGATGGAAAACCTACCTGCCGCCGTATATATCGTGTGTCAGTGGCGAGCTCTCGTCGTCGGTAAAGTTGTTGTCATCGCTGTCGCCATGATCCCCGGGCGCCCCGGCTCCGACGCCGACGCCGACTCCAGCCCCGGCACCCGGACCTGGCGGTGCCATCGGACGATGCCGCATCGCAGACATCTCCCACGGTTGCTGCTAGCCCCCCCTGCCCCGTGCTGGCCCAATCTTGGAGTGCAAATGGAGATGGCTCTCTGCAAATATATGTCTGCTGTCTGTTGTCTTCTGTTGTGCTGTGATGTTGTTGCCTGCAATGAGTTTGGAGAGTGGAAAATAATTGAGCTGAGCCAAGTTGCTGATGTCGATAAGCCGGTTTTAATGGATATGCAATTTATGGCCATACAATGGACTGTGGACTCTGGACTCTGGACTCTGGACTGGCCAAGGACAAGCGTCCTTTGACCCAACCAGTTGGCAGTTGGCATACCGGTTTAGGTCCGGCTTGAACCTTGAAAGCCTCTTACAGCTGCATTCCAGCTCTCCATTTAGTGAGTCATTTTAGACTCTTCTTCAGTCCAGTTCAGTTTCGGTTAAGTTTTCCCAACGCAATTTCACTTTCACTCTACTAATTTTAGCTTAAAGTTAATTACGAGAAATGTTTTGGGGGCTACAGCTAGACACGTAAGACTTATGCGCAACTCGACTTGGATTCAGCTCGGACACGCCTCAGTTGTTCCACATGTGGCACGGAACTCATGTTGCCCCAGCGGCTCTTCATTCGGTTTCTTGGAGTGTCTGTTGTTGCCTTTTTTTTTATGGTAATTAAGTACGATTGCTCGTCTGACTGTATTGTTCTGTGCCAGAGAAGGCCTTGTGCCAGATTCTGGTCCGAGTGCAATATTTATGATTATGTGGCAAATTGAAGATGATATTTCAATTGGTATTGGCATGGTATTGGGCGATGGATGGTGAGGGAATTGCCATTGAGTAACGCACATTGACTATTTATTCATTCATGGAAAATCAATCACAAAATCTCCTCAATCGATTTTGATTACAAAGGTGGAAACAGTCTTGGAAGATCGTGTGACTGCCTTTGTAGCCAATATTTAAAGGGAGTCGGGCACTCAATAGATGGTTACGGGAAAGTCATAGAATATGTCTGATGATGTTCTAAAGAGTGCCTCAGATGTGGCCTCAGACGGAGGGGATACTGGAGCAGCTGCAGGAGCGTTAGTTGGATCGGTTTTGGCAGCATTTTGTGGAGCATCGTTAGCTTCAGAGCTGTCAGGTGTTATGGCAAATCTCTGCTTGAGTTTCCTGTATATTTCGTCGGGTGCTGCAGGACTCTTGCAGCCTTTGGCCAACTTTTCCATTAGCTTTTGCGACAGCTCTTTGGGTGTTACGATATTGCTGCAAATGATTGGCGGATTGGAAGCGACTTTGGGCTGAGCTCCTCCTCGTTTTCGCTTGAAGATCTTGGACATTCTACTAGTGGATGGTTTCGGATCATCAGCGGATTTGGGGGGCTTCTCATTGCGGTCTTGGCTCTGGTTGCTGCCTTTTGGTTCGATATCCATGGCAGCACTTTGCTGGAGTCTGTGTCTGCTGTCCTTGCTGAGTGTCACCACCAGGCTGCAGCGCTCCTGCCTAAATTTCCCTTTGAGTAGCTCCAGATCCTGCAAGAGCTGCCGGTCGGCTGGCTGCAGCGCTCTCTTCAAGGTGATTTCGCGCATGTCTCTGGTAATGGACACCTCGGACATGAAGACCTTCACCAGCCTCTTCATGTGCACATCGAACTGCCGATCGGTGAGCATCACCGTCTTGGACCTAGCCTCCACCAGCCGAAAGCGTGCATTCGCCACTTCCTCCGGCTGGATGCGACTCTCGAGCGTCAGCGGCGGCAGCCGAACGCCGCCATCGCTCTCCAGGTCCACACTACACACTTGAGCCACGTCGAAGCTCTTGGCCGCTGCTCTCGAGGGGGGTCGGGGGGTCTTCACTGTTGCGGGTGATATCTTCACAATTTTTGGGTTCTTCAGCATTGTATTTTTGTTCTTCATAATTTGGCGGGGAAGTAAGCTTTTGGCAAACGCTTAGAAATTATTTTTATGGAGAGAAATCGAGAGTAAAGTGTGAAATTTTGTAACCAGTTAAAACTATTGATTTGCTAGATCTGGAGTGTATTCGAGAGACTAACTTGACTCTGAAATAATCGGAAAAGCATTGTACATTGATCATTGAAGTATTCCACATGAATTCCATCAAATCTGAACTAAAGCTGAAACCAGATGTTCTGCAGAGAGAGACAGCTGACTGCTCGAGGGATGCTGTGGGGCTTACAGCTGGGCACTCAGTCGTGGACTCTGCGCAGAAGCAGGAAGTGAAAAGTGCGCGTCATAGGATGAACCACCCCCAGTGGCCGGCACTCAGTGTCGTCCACCCTCAAGCAGCAACGCACATTATGGGTGGGAGGTGCGAGTGTGTGTGGGTTTGGGTTTGGGTTTCGGTTTGGGGTGGTTCAGCGGCATGTGTGGGTGGTTGGGTGGGTTGGGGATGCTTTCGTGGCAAAAGCGTTGAGGTGTGCCGCCCGTTTTGCGCTTTTTAGGGCAGGAACTAACGTGGCGTTACAACAGGACCGTGTGGCCTAAAGGATAAGGCGTCGGACTTCGAATCCGAAGATTGCAGGTTCGAGTCCTGTCACGGTCGTCTGCTCAACCTTTTTGTTTCTTCACGGCTTCTTCCACTCACTTCAGTCTTTTTCGCATTGGAAATTTATGTGCGATTTGCTGTTTGAATTTTGATTTAATCACTGCCGTGGCATAATTTAGCATCTCGTTTGCTGGCAATTGGTAAATCATCTGCTCGTCTGCTCCTCCTTCGGTTCCCAATCAAAATCGAAACCCGTTTGCTTTGCGTTGTTCGACTCTTTGGCAATACGAAAATGCGAAATCAATTTGATATGGGAAAAAACATATTGCAATTGAGCAACCAACCAGTCGGTAAAACAAAAAACCGATTAAGTTGCCCCACTGCCAATAGAAATCTTGACTTCTCCACACAGTTGCTTCCCCTAAATGTCAAATGACCACTTGAATGGTTCTCCTCCACTGGTTGAACTTGGATTTCTATGAAGTTTTCCATTCAGTTCTCTTTAAGCTGCAATTTAAGACAACAGCCAGAATTAATTGTACATCAAAAGCGGATTAAGTTGCTTCTAAATACCCATAAGAAAAGTTTCAATTCCTAAAAGCAAATAGGAAATCTTTGCCAAACAAGAGCTTGTGGCTTCAAGAAACTTAAAACCAAACGACATGAACTCTGATAACCCTTTGGACAACCTCAACATGGGATTAATACTGGGTACTCGTAGTACTTTTACCCACACACCACAAGAGTACGTGTCTGGCATACCAAATATGACCCAAGCTGATGAAAATTCCCGACTTGGACACAACAAATAATTAAGTATTCATGTCAAAAAGTCGAAAAAGGATTACACACAGCCCACAAGTATATGAATTCTTGTAGATCTGTGATAGTGGTGTACATAAATCGAATCGAACCGGTTGGACAGGAAGGCGAACTAGAGCGGGGGCCATGGACAGGGCGGGCCATGGCTGGTGGGGTCCGTCCATTGTGCTGCTACCCACAACAGACAATGGGCCACAGCTGCAGGCGTTTTGGCAATTTAATAATTTTCGTCTGTTGTAATCACATTAGCGCCTGTTTTGAGAGGGAGAGGGAGAGGGAGAGGGAGGAAGGTATGTTGCAAAGTGAATGGCCATTGAAATAATGGACACAAGCAGCACGGATTCATATGTACCCACATAATCGTGTGTATAAATGCTGATATATATTCCTATATCTGAATGGTGTTTGTGGCAAAGTTTCGTTACTCGCCAAAGAAGGCAAACAATTAAAGCCCGCGCTCCACCAACAGACAGCAAGAAATAATAAAAAGTGAAAGTCCCAGATACTTGTACAAATAAATGTTATAGAAAAAACTGAGATACTTGGCCACAGCTACAGATACAGCTACAGATACAGATACAGCTACAAGCTACAGGCCACAGCCACTGCTGTGTTGTGGCTGCAACTGGTGGCGCATAAATTGATTGCTACATTTAAGCCAACTAGTCAAAACGGGAACTCGGCAATCGAATCGAACCGGCCAGGCCCGAACCACGCCAGGCAGCTGCTGCCGGACTGCTGCTCGGACAACCAGTTTTCGGTGGCCAACAGGAAAAGCAGTCGCTAAGAAATATGCGCCAATAAGAGTAAAAATTGTAAATTGCAATCGAAGCAAGTCGGAACGAGCGACAATGCTGGTGACATGGCGGCCAAGATGGGGAAGGCAGGGTTTTGATTTGTCAGAGTGGTTAGAGGGGGAGTAGGCGGACAGGGGTTCGTTCCATGGGTGTGGGTTCAATGTGCAGTGGTCAGAGCACTGGAATTGACCATTTAAGTAATTGATTTATGCATGCTACGACTAGAGTTGCTGCGCTGCTGCCTGAAGGTTGTTGCGCGATCTAAGAGCCAGGAATTCCACCTTGAGGGGATTGGCTGGTATGAATCATCAGGTATAGATCGCAGATTTTTGGCTTTTAGTTAAAGCAAAGCCTCTCCACATTTGTTGTGTGTAATCCGGTTATCTATGGAGAATGCTCATCAAACAAATATACAAAAGAAAATCAAACTGCCAGACATTCACAACATTAAAATGGAAAGGGGAAATATAAATTCTGTATAGATAAAAGTAAAGTTTGGCTGAAGCTGTCGTTAAAAACGGAACTATTTTTGAGAAAGTCTTGGAGCTACTTCCAATTGGTATGCATTTCCTTTCTGTGAATATATGTAGTTGATCAGCGATGAATCATATGATAAAACTGCTTCAAAAGAACCCCTTCATCCTTCATCTACCTTCTGGCCACACTTCTGTGCCATAAAAAAAGACACTTTAACTTCTTGCCAACTCATTTCTTGGCCAGTTCCTTCAACTTGTTTTGTTTTTTCTGTTTGTCTGTTAAGCATTTAACCGTTATATCCGTGCAAATAATATTAAAAAATAAAAAAAACATCAACTCAACCTTTCGAGTTGGAAGTGCAGCAAAATGATGTGTGACTCACCAAAGCATTTGTTTTGGGAGCCTTTCAATTTGGAAACGTTTGGAGTTTAACCAATTAAAAGGCATTAAAATGCAAGAATTACAATGCTATTGAGGGATTAATTTTGGAGGCACACACACTGTGTGTGCATCTATAAATTGAATTCAAATTGATTCGATGTGATTTTAATTATGTGAAATGAGTCACAGTAGAGCTTAATGTGTGGTTTTTCCACAATGCGTAAGTTGAATGTCATCTTTCGAGCTTTTGGTGGTTTTTCTTGGGCTTCATTGATGACTAAATTGAAGGACTTATTCATGAATCCACCGATGAGTTGTCAAAATTGATTATTTAACATGTGTAGCTATCATAGTGCAATGTGATTGTGCCTTGATGGAGTTGCCCCGCAAACTTCAGCATCAATTATGTTTATTTTTAACCATGTTTGAGTACACTTTTTGAAGCTTGAAGTGAGAGAAAATAAATATTTGCTGGTGCGCTTTTGTTGGCCAAAGAGCAAACAGCAGATGAAGAGAGAGAGAGAGAGAGACCCAAAGAGACCTCGAGACTGCGAGATGAAGGTGGAGGCGTGTCAACAAATGTGATTGGAAATGCCAAACAGATGATTTGGCAGCTATATATGTATGTAAATATGTATGCATGATGTATGATGATGTATAGTATGCTCTTGTGATGGAAATGAGATGATTTCCTGAGAAAGAAGCACAGCAAAAATCGCCCAAAGTGTTAACCAGTCTCTGCTAAATGCCAAGAAAATGGTGGTATGACTTAAAGTTCCGACTTGCCTTGCTAATTTAATTTTATAATTTATAGAACAAGTTGCTTGATTTTTGGGTGTGTTTTTGAATACAGGGGAACGGGTTTTTTTTCGCCACTGAGGGACTCTGGTCTCTGCGCAAATAACACAAATCGTTTCCAAGTCTGAAATGCTAAATAGCCAGAGCCACTCGGCCAGATGGAGGGGGGCCGCCTCTCAGGCTGGTGTTTGGCTGCAACCTTATAGGAAAGCAAAAGTGTTGCCAAAGTCTTACAGCAAAAACCCGTTAGTAAAGCTGTTGGGAAAGAAGAAGAAACAGAAGCAGCAGCAAAGAAAAACATAAAACTGGCAAACGGAATAGAAATAGAAAGAGATTTGTGGTATGGCGCATAACTTTCACATGCCTTGGGTCTCTATAAGAAAATTGTGCCGTTTGTTAAAGCTGCTGCTGCTGCTGCTGACGACGACGACGACGATGACGATGAAATGGCACAAAAGAAAAGGCCAAGAGATCGTATGATGTTTGCCCCAGTAGCTGTAGCTTTGCCTCTCACAGATAGCGAGAGTGAGTGAAATGTAGAAGTGAATGTTGTTTGATTTCGTCGAGTCCAATTTAAGCTTCAAAGAATAAAGGAAATCCCAGATGGCTTTAGCCAGCGACACACACACTTTTTGTATGGATTTTGTATAGATTTTCACTTTGTATAATTTCTGCTGCTGCACACGGATTCGCCTGCGTGGCTCACTAATTTTCACAAATTTAACTTTGCGTTTGATTTCTTTTTCATTAATTTGATTTCTTCTCTTTTGGCTTACTTATAAGTATTAGCCGTGTGTTGGTTAGCCGTCGTTCGTACTCGTACACGTACATATGTACATGTATATGGCTGCATAAAACGCTTTTAGCTTGATACCCAAACACACACACTCACGCCCTGCCAGACACACACACACAGAGAGAGAGAGAGAGAGACAGAGACAGAGACGACTACGCATGCGCGCACGTACCGTTTTGTAAGACGCAGACGTGATTATTATTTCTGTTTGTACCTTTTTTTCTACGCTTTTCGTTTCGATCCGCGACCAAGCTCTTTTCGGGTTCGTTGTCTTCGCCAAACTGAATCGAAGTCTTTCGTTTTTGCCCATTGGAAGTGGCCGTCGCTGTTGCTGCTGCTGCTGCTGCTGCTGCTGCTGCTGCTGCTTTGGCTGGAAATGAATTTTTATGAGAGCTGTTTTTACTGGGATTGTTGCTGGGTTATTACTTGTTTTCGGTTGTTGCTGTGCTGCGCATTTGGTGA